ACCCCCAGGACCCCCCAGCCCAGGAGTGTCCCACCCTCCCAGGACCCCCAGGAGTGTCCCACGTCCCCCAAGACCCCCAGACCCCCCAGGACCCCCGCCCAGGGCTGTCCCACCCCCCAGGCGGGCTGAGCACCCCTGGGTGCAGCTGGCCTCACCCGTGACCTGGTCCACGAGGATGCGGGAGGTGATGATGCGGCCGTACTGCGAGAAGAGCTGCTCCATCTCCTTCTGCCCCATGGCCTTGGGCAGCCCGCTCACGTACAGGTTGGCATCGCGGATGGAGGCCGAGCTGGGCCGGGCGTAGGACACCTGGGGGGACAGGTGAGCCCTCGGGACCCCCGGGGGACAAGGGCAGTGCCCACCCAGGCCTCCCACCCACCACAGAGTGCCCCCTCCACACAAAGACCCCCACGAGTGCCCCTCTGTAGGATCCCACCTGTGCCCTCCCCACCCCAGAACCCCCCAGGTGCCCCCACCACCCCGGAAGCCCCCCAGGTGCCCACCCACCACCCCAGAAGCCCCCCAGGTGCCACCCCCGTGTCCCCAGGGCACCTTGATGGTCTTGGTCTGCAGCTTGAGGCCGTTGAGGGCCCCGATGGCCCGGTCGGCGTCGCCGGCCTCCACGTAGTTGACGAAGCCGTAGCCCAGGCTTTGCCCTGGGGCACGGTGTCACCGTCAGCGGGGTGGCCCTGTCCCCTGTGCTCCCAGGGCCACCCCCGTCCCTGTCCCCAGACCCTGCCAGCCTCGCTGTCCCCTCTGTCCCCATGGACACAGTGGCACGCAGGGTCGAACCCGTGGGGACAGGGACACTGGGGGGACACCGAATTGTCCCTGCTCCCAGGTCACCTCCAGGTCTGTCCCTGTCCCCACAGGTCCCCGTGTCCCCTGTCCCTTCCCATGTCACCGTGTCCCGTTTCCCCATGTGCTGTGTCCCTTGTCCCCCTGCCCATGTCCCTGTGGTCCCGTCTTGCACCACTCACATCCCCGTGTCCCCTGCCCTGTCCCCTGGCTGTCCCCATGTCCCTGCCTGTCCCTGTGCCCTGTCCCCTGGCTGTCCCCGTGTCCCTGCCTGTCCCTGTGCCCTGTCCCCATATCCCTGCCCTGTCCCCTGCCTGTCCCCATGTCCCTGGCTGTCCCCCTGTCCCTGCCTGTCCCCCTGTCCCCTGCCTGTCCCCGTGTCCCCTGCCCTGTCCCCTGGCTGTCCCCATGTCCCTGCCTGTCCCCGTGTCCTGTCCCCCCCAGGCCGTGTCCCTGTCCCCTTCCTGTCCCCTGCCCAGTCCCCTGCCTGTGCCCCTGCCCCATCCCTGTGCCCCTGCCCTGTCCCCGTGTCACTGCCCTGTCCCCTGCCTGTCCCTGTCCTGTCCGTGTCCCCCGGCTGTCCCCGGGCCGTACCGGTGACCTTGTCCCGCACGAGCTTGCAGGACTCGATGTCGCCGAGGCTGCCGAAGAGGCTGCGCAGCTCCTCCTGGCTCATGGACTGCGGCAGGTAGTTGACGATCAGGTTGGTTTTGCTGTCGTCGGCCACGGGCGGGGGACCCGGGGGGGCCCCGTTGGGCAGCGCCGCCGCCACCCCCGGGCCTGGCACGGCCACCACGGGCACGGGCACGGGCACGGGGCCGCAGCCCGACGGCCCCGCGGCGCCGGGGGCCTGCGCCTCCACCGTGCTCAGGATCTGCTGGGGGGACACGCGAGTCACCGGGGACACCGGGGACACCGGGGGGACAGGGACGGCGCGGACATGGCGGCCAGGGGACAGAGACGGCGGGGATGGGGACAGCGGGCTGGGGAGGGGACACGGACACGCGGGGACAGAGAGCTGGGGAGGGGACACGGACACGCGGGGATGGGGACAGGGAGCTGGGGAGGGGACACGGACACGCGGGGATGGGGACAGGGAGCTGGGGAGGGGACACGGACACGCGGGGATGGGGACAGGGAGCTGGGGAGGGGACACGGACACGCGGGGATGGGGACAGGGAGCTGGGGAGGGGACACGGACACGCGGGGACGGGGACAGGGAGCTGGGGAGGGGACACGGACACGCGGGGACAGCGGGAGGCGGGGACAGCGCACGGGGGACAGTGACACCCGGGTGGGGCCGGGGGGGACAATCCCCCCATTGTGCGGCGGCGCCCCCGCCCCTTCCCCCCTCCCCAGTAGCGCGGGGTGGGTGACAATGGCCCTTTGTCGCCGGGTGACGGGGACACCCGGGGCCACCAGCCACGGCCCGGGGGGGGCGTGGGGACGGCGACACACGTGTGGCGTGTGCGACCCCCGCCCAAATCGGCCGCGGTGTGGGGAGGGGTCCCCGCCCCTCCCTCCCTCCCCTGCAGGTGCCACCCGCGAGTGACGCCGTGTCCCCAACCCGGACGGGAATGGAGGAGGAAGAGGAGGAGGAGGGATGGAGAGGAGGAAGAGGTGGAGAAGGAAGGACAGGGAGCGATGGAGAGGAGGAAGAAAGGGGGAATGGAGGAGGAAGAGGAGGAGGAGGAAGGAGCGGAGGAGAAAGCGCAGGAAGGGTGGGGGGATGGAGAACGAGGAAGAGGAGGAGGAAGAAAAGGAGGAGGAGGAGGAGGGAGGAAGAGGAGGGTGATGAAGGCCGCGCACGAGCCGCCGCCGCCGCTTCAGCACCGGGGACAGCGGCGGGCCCCGGCCCGGGCCCCGAGAGAAAAAGGAAATAAATAAAAGGTGGGGGGGGGCACAGGGACACCTCGGGGGGGACGGGACAGGTGAGGCTGGGGGTCCCAGGTGAGTCTGGGGTCTCCAGGTGAGTCTGGGGTCTCCAGGTGAATCCAAGGGGGACCCAGATGAGCCGTGGGGGTCCAGGTGAGTCTGGGGGATCCCAGGTGAGTCTGGGGTCCCAGGAGTCTGGCGGTCCCAGGTGAATCCAGGTGGTCCCAGGTGAGTCGGGTCGCAGGTGAACCGCGAGAGTCCCAGGTGGATCCAGGTGAGTCTGGGGGTTCCCAGATGAGCCCGGGGGGTCCCAGATGATTCTGGGGGTGCCAGGTGAGTCCGGGGGCTCCGGAGGGGGGGGCTCGGCGGGGGGGGGCAGCTCCTCCTGCTTCAGCCTCAGCAGCGGCTCCTCCTCATCCTCCTCTGCCACAGCGGGGCTGGTGAGACCCCCTGGGACCCCCCCAGCTCGTGACCCCCAAACCCAGCCCCTGCCCCTGCCCCTAAATCCTGACCCCAAATCTTCCCCAAATCCCATTCCTGACCCCAATCCCACATTCCCAACCCCAAATCTTCCTCGACCCCAAATTCCCGACCCCAATCCCCCATTCCCTACCCCAATCCCCCATTCCTGACCAAATCCCCCATTCCTGACCCCAATCCCTTTTCTAGACCCCAAATCTTCCTCGATCCCAATTCCCAATCCCCAATTCTCGACCCCAAAGCTTCCCCAATTCCAATTCCCAATCCCCCAATTCACAATCCCAAATATTCCCCAATCCCCCATTCCTGACCCCAAGCCCTCCATTCCTGACCCCAAATCTTCCCCAAAGCCCATTCCCAACCCCAATCCCCCACCCCAATCCCCAATTCCCCACCCCAAACCCCTTCCCCAAATCCCATTCCCGACCCCAATCCCCCAATCCCCGACCCCAAACCACAG